TGTGGACCGTGATGAGAGGCGGCGCTCACGATGATGCCGCATTTGGAGGGGCCGCCAGAAGTCATTTGGGGTGGGGTGAGGTCAGTGGAGGACGAAGGCTGTGTCAGCAGCTCGATGTTGTCAGCCAGAGTTTCAATCAAACAGCGGCGCGATGAGGAGGGGCGTTGTCGCGGGAAAAATGAATTGGACGCGCGTCTTTGCCATGCTGTGCGTGGTAGTCGCCGGAAAAAGACGTTCATTCATTTGCTCCGTCGACAATCATACTGATACGATGAACTGTTCCGCTGGTCATTCCGATGTTCTGAGGCATCTGCCCGATTGTCATACGACGATCTTTCATCATGGCAGCCTCCATTTGTGTGACGTGGACAGATCGGTCTGTACCTCGGGTCTCCCAGAGAGTGGTAAACCCCTCACGTTCGCGCTACTCTTCTCCAGACCACACACCCACCTACCCACCTTTTCACTCGGAAAAATTGTTACTGCCATAAACTAGAAGAGTATCTTTGTGTAACTCCCCATGCTTCTAGTTTTCCGGTGTAATGCAGCTGATGATCGGACGCTACAAGCTTGCGTCGAAAGGAACACAAAATTTCGGGTATGTAAGCACGTGAAGCAAGCTCCAAAATGGCATTCTTTCCCTCAAATTAATCACGATTTCGTGCTGAAACCCTGTGTCTTAGGAAAGTGGATTAAAAGGTTACTTGAAAAAAGGTTACGTGCCAGGCCACGTTATTTTTTCATAGCAATGAAATGGAACTTATTTTTAGAATGAGCCTTGTAAAGAAATGCAGGACGTATCTGTGTACACAGACATAATACATATCAGGCATTTGGAGGGCCAGTCATAAGCTCCAAGGAGGTGGACCAACTTTCGGAGAAAGGTTTTTGTCCGGAAAGATGAAGCCGACGCGTCGTACCGGGGACCGAATTCAGCGATGAATGTGCATTTTTTTTCGACCAGCATGGTAGGAAAAGACAAAACCTACTTCCGGGAAAATTATGAGTAAATGTTCCCAGACTATGCAGTGGCTGCGTCCATGGCTGTGTGCTGCTGGCCGGTAGTGCGCACAACCTAAGTATGTTTATTTAAATAGGTCATTGCTTGGCGAGGCATTCACGTGGGAAGTGGGTTTCCCATCGGCGCAGATCTTGACAAGCCATAATGACAATGATATCTCAAATTCGGACTGGAAATATCTTGGATGCACGTTTAGTCCAGAAGCCTTCTTGAATCGGAGAGGCTGAGCTTGCTGACGGCGGGTCGGCGCCGCCCGCAGCCCTCGCTGCTGTATCGTAAGCTCGTCTGGCGTTCTTGGCGGCAGCCAGTTTGTTGTGTCGGACACCACTGACCAGCATGCAGGATCAGGTTGCACGATCGGTGATCAGTGTTCCGCCAGGACTGGGTAGCTGATCGGTGTTCCGTCAGGACTGGGCAGCTGATCAGCGTTCCGCCGGGGCTGGGCAGCTGATCGGTGTTCCGTCAGGACTGGGCAGCTGATCGGTGTTCCGCCAGGACTGGGTAGCTGATCAGCGCAGGAATGGGTAGCTGACCAGTGTTCGGCCAGGGCCTGACCGCGCCGTCCGAGCGACGCGCGCTTGACTGGTGTTTGGTTGACGGGCCAACTGTCGCTCAGGGGCTGATTTCACGCCGACAGGGGATCGACACGGAGCACGGGGTACATATGACCATGCGCGCGCAGCCGAAGCATGCGCTGTGTGTCGTCCGGCCGCGCGATTGGCTGCAACATCTGGACTTAGCACGTGATTCGTCGAAACAGCTGATGAGCCGGCTGACCAATGGTCGTGGTCGCCAACCGAATATGTTTTCCAAAATTTAGCCCGGATCTTTTGATTGCGTGAACTTATGAGATCAAAGCCCATGATCTTCTGAGATCAGCGCGGCAAAGGAGCGCTTACCGCGTGAGCTCCGACCTCGCCATGCTATCATGGAATTCCTGGTCAACGGTATAGTTTAGTGGGAAAAACTGAACCTGCCACAATGCTCGATACGGCCCGGTCAGCCCTCTCCCGTTAGCGCTACTGCTACCACCGGTCGCAGCCCATCGCGGTCAGAGGCAAGTAGCGAGAGCCTAAAGCGATTCAAATCGACCCCATCACATAAGGGTGAATCGGAGGGCATGCACTCCAATCAGCTGAGCTATCGGGCAAACGTAGCCGAGCGCCTGGCGACTGCCGCCTCGCTTTTGTACCACAGGCAAGGAACGGGACCCATGCGACCTCGTATCTCTCAAGTTCTGACCTTGTTCGCCTGCACCGCCGTACCGGAGTACACGATCTCTAATTTTCGCGCTCAAAGTTCGCTTAAAGCGCTATACACACTAATCCCTCGGTCTCCAAGCGACCACGTCTTAATGAGGAAGCCCTGGCCTGTAGTGATACCAGCATACAACGGTTATCACCCTGTCATCACCTTCTGTGAAAGCCGGCTCCACTCGCCAACGTCTGTTTTGCGTTGAACTGGATGCTCTGTGATCCAATCATCGTCTCTTAGCTTAAGTGGTCTCGTATCCGACACAGGCATGCCATGTGCCACGGTTGAACGCCGTTTATGGCTTGGCCGGGAGCACGCCTTGTGATCTGCAGCCGCCTGACGTCCGCACATGCGGCGTGGTGCACCGGTGCACGGCCGACGAGCCGCCGAGAGGCTGCATAATGGGCACCTGCTCACCAGTGCAGACCGCCGGCGCGATGCGACACCGGTACGCCACTCTCTCACAGCGTCCGGGTGGCTAGGCAACGTTTCCCAAGACCACTCTCCGCAGCTCCCATCAGCTCGTGGCGATCAACAGCAGTTTGACATCGGCCCAGTCTCCGCGAGCACGCCGCCAGCACCCAGCTGTGCCGACCGTGGCGGGGGGGGGGGGGGGGGGGGGCAGCTGGAACTGGAGAGGCGTCTGCGGTCGGACCGCCCGCCTGCCGACGGTGCGTGGCCGGCGGCTGGGCTGGTGGCGGCGTTGATTTACACGCGGGGCCGCCGGCGCCGGCAAGCAGGTCGAGTGTGCAGCTGCGGGCCGCCGCCCGCGCCGGCGTCATTAACGCCAGCGAGGTGATCTATGCGTCTGCCCACCGCGACCGGAACACAATTAGTCGCAGTCTAGCAGGCGCGGACAACGGAATTGGGCGCCTCATGTTTGCAATGCTGGATTCGAGACAGCGGTATCATACACAGGATGTATTTCACGCGAGCGGCTGACGCTAACTGGTGGTTAGAGTACGAGGGCTGGTGTGAGGCGACCAGTCGAGGCGTGGACAGGGGTGCCACGGTCCGCAAGGGCTGTGCGGGCCGGACGGCGAATCAAGCACCCTGCTGAAGTGTTACTCCAGCGCCAGGTTACGCTCGCACCGATGGCATGCACCACTTTAGTGTCCTGTACCTCCTCGTGAGAACGCTTAAAAGACAAGGCTAATACCGCCTGAAGAGGCTCAGGCTCATATTTCTTAACATCATTTACCATATCACTCTTTATGATTATTACTGTTCTGTACTATCAGCATTTTTTGGTCACGGAATACCAATAAGGCAAGCTTTACGTACCTGCCCGGCCAGCGGAGATAGACTACACCGGCCCCAGCCAGCGGAGATGGACCACACCTGCCGCCGGCCAACGGAGATGGATCAACACCGGTCCCCGGCCGGCGGAGATGGACCACATCGGCTCCCAGCCAGCGGAGAGGGAACAGGGACCACACTCACCCAGGCCGATGGAGGACCACGCCCGCCCCTGGCCGGTGGAGATGGACCGCACCGGCTCCCGGCCAGCGGCCTTGGGCCACACCGGTCCCCAGCCAGCGGAGATGGGCCACACCGGCCCCCGGCCAGCGGAGATGGACCATGGACCACACCCACCCGGGCCGGTGGAGGAGGATCACGCCCGCCCCCGGCCAGCGGAGATGAACGACACCGGCTCCGGCCAAGGGAGGTGGACCCCATCTCCCCCGGCCAACGGAGGTGGATCACATCCATCCCAACCAGCGGAGGTGGACCACGATCAAACGTGGCCGACGCCCGTTGGCTCGTAAAAAGAGCCATTCATTGACCAGCGGGGATGGGGCCTGTGCGCGCGGCCGCTCGGCCCCTCAGAGAGGGTTTTGGGGACGCATGACTTACGAGACGGACCGAGGGCGGGGAAGGATTTATGCCTCCAGTCCCGGGAAGTTTCTAATTAACAGGAGTTCCACGCTCTGGAAATACATGGCGTCCGCTAGGAAGCGCATAAATCACCTGCGCAATCGGCGGTGCAAGCCATTTGCGACTGTGCACCGTGGAAGTATTGACCCTGCTGAAGCCTTTAATGGGTGTAACCGCTGGGTTCGAGGCGCGAACTGGCCATTTATTCTGTGGTTGAGAGCGCAGCTAGAGAACGATACACCACGTGTTAGCACATAAACTATCTCAGCTGCCCAATCTGGTCTTGTGTCTGCTTTTCACTATATTTTTGTTTTCACTTGTAACGCTGGTCAGGTGCGTCCATCCATGAACTTTGTTCAGAATATCCCGAAAGTGCTGGCTGATCGCGTCACCGGTGATCGGTGACCACGAGATTCGAAACTGTCATCTGCGCATCGTTAGCCGATGATGTACGGGTCACTAACTCAGCAGGTAGCAAATCCGGCTGTACCGAGCTCAAGAGGGGCCATCAATTCAAAGCGTGGCTTACAGCCAAGCCATATGTTCTGTGTCCAGACTGTGGTCGGCCAACGAACCGCGTTCTATTCTGCACGCCCGTCAAGTGTTTTCTCTCATATGTTGGTATAGCAAAATGCCAGATGTCGGCTATGTTTCACGTTCAACGCTCTCTTAGTCATAGGCCAGTTTTCTCCAGAATATCCTGCGCAGCTATTCATCTTGGCAACCCGTCCTAGCAAATGAACTACTCAGCCGCCTGCCGCTGAGAAGACAAGTGGCGCGCTGATTTTGTATAAGACGTTTCTCCGGATGTGGCGGCACTGACAGCGTCCGTTCTCCCTGTCCGCAGGCGGAGCGCCATCACGGACGGGAGGCTGCGATGCGCGGCGTTCCGTGCCGAAGTGATCAGTAGTGTTGTGTGTAGCGCGATATCGCCGGCGCAGTGCAACGCCTAGAATGCCGAACGACCCGTACCGCGAAACAGACTACCCGCTGCCGGACGCGACCCACCCGTGTCCGGGGCGGGGCTTTGACTTCGTGGCCATCCCACCCGAGTGCCCCCCGGCCGCGTCACGCGGCTTCTTTCAAACCATGGAACCGCCTCTACCGGTCCAGCAGCTTCGTCACCACCAGCATCCACATCAACAGCAGCAGCAGCAGCAGCAGCAGCAGCAACAGCAGCAACAGCAACAGCAACAGCAACAGCAACAGCAACAGCAACAGCAGCAGCAACAGCACCACCACCACCACAACCCCCACCACCAGCAGCAGCAGCGGCAGCAGCAGCAGTTGCACCAACAGCAGCTGCTCCAGCATCAGCAGCGGCTGCAGGCCCAGTCCCCTAGCGGCAGCAGCAGTCCCAGCCGCCAGCCGCAGCAGCACGTCCCGTGCCACGGGCGCGCCGCCGCCACAGACCCCCGCCAATACGCGCCGAACAGCTCGTGCGGCAGCTCAGCGCCGGGCCGCGGCGGCAGGCCGTGGTGCCCGCAGCCGGCGGGCGCGGCCGAGGCGTACGCGGCCATGTACCGCGCCGCGCCGGCCGGCCTGCAGTCGGACCCCGGCTGTCCGCAGTATCTGGCGACGGAGGGCGAGCGCCCACCGGTCGCGCGCCACTGCCCAGGGGCAGCCGCGCCCGACCGCGGTCCGTCCCCAGCCGGCCGGCTCGGCAGTGACGGCTACCTCGCGCAGGACGTGTTCGGCCGCGGTCCGTGCCCAGCCATCCAGCAGCCAGGCAGCCTCTTCCCTTGGATGAAGGCGCAGTTCGGTGAGTGCTATGCGCCAGCGGGAGCGGGGGTCACGAGCTTAACTGATGCACCAGCGGAAGCGGGGGTCACGAGCTCAACTGATGCACCAGCGGGGGCGGGCGTCACGAACTCAACTGATGCACCAGCGGGAGCGGGGGTCACGAGCTCAACTGATGCACCAGCGGGAGCGGGCGTCACGAGCTCAACTGATGCACCAGCGGGAGCGGGCGTCACGAGCTTAACTGATGCACCAGCGGGAGCGGGGGTCACGAGCTCAACTGATGCACCAGCGGGAGCGGGCGTCACGAGCTCAACTGATGCACCAGCGGGAGCGGGCGTCACGAGCTTAACTGATGCACCAGCGGGAGCGAGTGTCACGAGCTCAACTGATGCACCAGCGGGAGCGGGCGTCACGAGCTCAACTGATGCGCCAGCGGGAGCGGGGGGTCACGAACTCAGTTGAGGAGTATCGTGAACGCGGTTCTGTGATGATCGTGAGATCTCACCAAATCCGGGGGTGCCACTGGCCACGCCGCGTGTGTCCTGAAATCATTTGAATGCAGAAAGAGAGCGACCGATCTCGATCACCCGCGCAACTCAGCAGAACAACGCCTCCTTCCTGTCCGCCCCGACGCCCTCGACGGTAGAGAATCGCGCCGCTCGTCCACGGGGGAGCCTAGCAGGCAGGGGAGGGCATCGCTGCGCCACTTTTACCTTCTTTTTCGTCTTGCCAGCACACGCCAACCATCACTCAGGTATTGCGCCTCATATCCGGAGGATTACACTTCAGCACAAACCACTTAACTGGTATACATTTGGCGTTTCGAAATTTTACGTCCCAGTCCGCATTTCATGACAGCTTGAGTGCTGGCACAAATCATGTGCTTCCTACTTTGATACGGGATCGGACGACTGGTCTAACTGCTCCACAATATCGATTTTGAAAATCAAATACATCACACACCCGGCTGGTGCGCCCCTCTGTCGACCCGCTGGCTGTGTGTGCGTGGTTTCAAGTGTGGAGGTGTCTATGTGCGGCCACGAGTGTGTTGCCACAAGTGCCGGAAACCGGTCTTGCACTATAAACTATTCGTGATGCTGAAATGGGCCACAGAAACTTCCCATTGAATTATTAATTTTTATGGAGGGTTTAAGGCATCAGGTCGCGATAAAACAAACTAAAATGGGCCTGTCGTAGGCGCCGTGTCGGTCCACGGTGAGCGCTGGTCGCGGCTACGCTGTGTCGGTCCACGCGCTGTGTAGGTCCACGGTGAGCGCTGGTCACGGCTACGCTGTGTCGGTCCACACGCTGTGTCGGTCCACCGTGAGCGCTGGTCGCGGCTACGCTGTGTCGGTCCACGCGCTGTGTAGGTCCACGGTGAGCGCTGGTCGCGGCTACGCTGTGTCGGTCCACGCGCTGTGTAAGTCCACGGTGAGCGCTGGTCGCAGCTGCGCCGCATCCACCGACTCTAGTCCTGGAGTGCCGGCCGGTCCAACAGAAACGTCGATTGAACCAGCCAAACGTCAGACTCGATCAACCAAAATCGAAATGTCGATGGCATTTGGGGCCAGCATGAGGTCATAAAATGGAGAGGCTGTTAAAAAGTTGTCTCAAAGACATTGCAATGCTGAATGCTGTTAAAAAATACGCTGCCAAGTCATGTTTCTTAGTAGCGGAAGCCAGCCATGCTTCTTACCAGCGGAAGCTAGCCATGCTTCTTAGCTGCGAAAGCTAGCCAGGCTTCTTACCAGCGGAAGCTAGCCATGTTTCTTTGCAGCGGAAGCTATCCATGTTTATAAGCAGCAAGCCTTCGACACGAGACTCCGAGCGCGCCTGGGCGCTCATTACGATACTAACGGCACCACAGGCACGCCGTTGGTTTTCAATAGGCTAATGACCATTTCAGACTAAAAAAAACAGTGTTAATATTGTACCCCGCAATTGCATGGCATGTTTCGTAAGCCCCCAACAAATAATAATGCTAATCGATATCCGTCATAGCCAGGCGGAGCTACTGGTTACTCCATATGATTTATACACTGTGTCACGCTCAACGCTGGTTGTACGTCATCGCCAGGCGGAGCTACTGGTTACTCCATATGATTTATACACTGTGTCACGCTCAAAGCTGGTCAGACGTCATAGCCAGGCGGAGCTACTGGTTATTCCATATGATTTATACACTGTGTCACGCTCAACGCTGGTCAGACGTCATACCCAGGCGAAACTACTGGTTACTCCATATGATTTATACACTGTGTCACGCTCAACGCTGGCCAGACGTCATAGCCAGGCGGAGCTACTTGTTACTCCATATGATTTATACACTGTGTCACGCTCAACGCTGGTCAGACGTCATAGCCAGGCGGAGCTACTGGTTACTCCATATGATTTATACACTGTGTCACGCTCGACGCTGGTCAGACGTCATAGCCAGGCGGAGCTACTTGTTACTCCATATGATTTATACACTGTGTCATGCTCAACGCTGGTCAGACGTCATAGCCAGGCGGAACTACTGGTTACTCCATATGATTTATACACTGTGTCACGCTCAACGCTGGTCAGACGTCATAGCCAGGCGGAACTACTGGTTACTCCATATGATTTATACACTGTGTCACGCTCAACGCTGGTCAGACGTCATAGCCAGGCGGAACTACTGGTTACTCCATATGATTTGTACACTGTGTCACGCTCAACGCTGGTCAGACGCCACGCTCAACACTGGTCAGACGCCATCGCCAGACAACTCGTCAGGTCACTGCTTCCTGGGCTATGACCTGTATATCATACATGCACTGGAAAGGTGCAGGAGGGATGGAACTTTGAAGCCAAACATTCTTTATTACTACGCTCTGGGTATCGTGTCCAGCCTCTGCGCCTTTGCCGTTGGCCGACGTTCGCCATGGTAGCTCCGCCAGCGCCAGTAATTGTCGCCGACGTCGCCAGCAAGACGTGCGCGGCTGTCCGGACGCTAAACACGGCTGAACGACGTGTTTAGCGCGCCACAAAGGTCGCTGTGGTGCCAGGCTTGATTTACGACTGCACCGGTTCAGCGTGTGTGTTCTGAAACCCGTCTAAATGACAGCGTTCGGCTAAGTCGCGACGGTTTAAGGGGAGGATGCAGTCGTGTGCAGTTGATCGAGCGTCAATAAGTTCAACTCTCGTAGGTTTGGCTGGCGACGTAGGTGATACACCCTTTGCTACTTTTGCTGCTCACCATCTGCAATTTCGCGATGTGAATGAGGCTGTAAAGATTTGAACGGCCCATCAAACACGCCGGCAAGGCGACATATGCGGTATCTCCCTGCCATCAATATAATGGGAAGAAATTCTCTCCACTTTATACCCATTGTATCGTTTCAAGTTAAAGAGATGTGTGAAACGCCCCCTTTCCCTCCCACCCAACAAGCGACGTTTTATTGTTTTTGCAGGCTTGGTAAACACTCAGCTATTCGTGGATCGTTTCGTATGCTCCAGTGCCCTCAGGGGATTCTGTGGCTCTTCGAAGACCATGCGATCCTAGTCGTACTTCAGTGGGCCTCTGTCTGGATAATGTAACATGTTATTTCCTCGCTTCGTCTCGAATCCTCGTATCGTCTTGTTCCTACCCTGCGTACCTTTTTACAACGGTATGCGCGCTATTGCCCATATTTCGCACCACAGTGCACCGACAGTGACGGTTCGCAACGTTTTTTTTTTTCAGACAGGAAGCGTGGTCGGCAGACGTACACCCGGTACCAGACGCTGGAGCTGGAGAAGGAGTTCCACTTCAACCGCTACCTGACCCGCCGGCGTCGAATCGAGATCTCCCACCAGCTGTGCTTGACGGAGCGCCAAATAAAGATCTGGTTCCAGAATCGGCGCATGAAGTGGAAAAAGGAGCATAGGACGCTCGACACCACGGACGACAAGGCGGCGTCGGTGGAGGTGGCAGATGCGGAAAAATCTCCGGGTGGGGCGTAAATTATCAGCATTTCTGCGATTGCGGTGGTGAAATATTATTTGGCTACTGTGTAGGACAAGGCATGCTGGCGCGGGCTGGTGGTGCTTGCTGCTGGCCCAGTGATATTCGGCCGGTCGTTCATCGGAGCCGCGGATGATGCTGTGGAAACATTCGGTCCCGATCACCAGGTTACTGGCACCTCGGGGCCCGTCATCGCGTCATCAGGTGACGTCATCGGTTCGTCGGTGCTCGTTCGTGTTGTTATGAGATCGTCAGCTGTGGTGTCCAGCGCCGGGGGGTCAGGCAATACTGTGCCGCCTGCAGTCACCCATCGTGTGACGTCATCTCCCCACCGACGGCTGGTGACGTCAGACGACCAGAGACGTCAGAGACAGACGTCAGGCTGGGCCCGACGCCGTACGGCCTTACATCCGTCTGGACCGCTGGTGAGGCTGTCCAGCACGCTCGCCCAACTCACACCGATACTGGACATGACGTCTATGACGCCGGCTTACACAACACTCCTTGCACGCCACGTGGCAGAGGCTGTACACACCTACACCGGGTGGGGCGAAACGGAGAGCCAAAGCAATTTGGAGTCTTTTGTATTCGCACGGTGATGATATGTTTAAACCATTTGTATTTTATACGCAATTTAAAACGACATACAGCTTTCACCATCGGGTACGCTTGAGAACGGTTGATCTTCGCCCTCTTCGTTGGGAGGGAGATCATCTCGACCTGGTCTGACATGTTCGGACAGTAGGTGGCAGCGACCTCTCCCAGGGTCACTTCCATCCGTGCGTAGGACCTTACGCGAAAGGTTATGTATGCCGGTGCCGTGTGCATTTGTGCTTCGTCCAATTTGTACGGAAAAAACGTATCACGCAATACTGCATATGTGATTAGGAACGGAATACGTAACTGATTGTGTGGTATACCGATACGTAATACGTTTCCATACTAGCACCGTATTTTAGAACGCTTTCACTTGGTTGTTTGCTAGCCACTAAGGCCGTTTGTAGGAGGATGAGGTAGGTGGCTAGGCTCACTGCACTGTTGCAGTGTTCAACGCACTATAAGTGCATTCGTCTCACTGCAATTTTTGAATGTAGGATATGCTTGTGATATACGAAAAGCGCTGGCCAATGCGCCCTTTCACACGAGGCCACCGTTGGATGCATTAGTTTCGGCAGGCGTCAAACGCCTTTGCTTTTTGTGATTTGAGTCTCTGCCGCTGCGCAGTGCAATGTAGCGTCGCTCGCTTGCTCTCCCAAAGATCGGCGCGCGCGGCGTCCTCCCTGCGGTGCCTAGCACGCGTTCTCTCGCGCTGCCTCGTGAGCCGGTCACGATCAGCGCCCCAGGCTGGCAGCTAGGTTGTTACTGTGGCGGGATGATCTCGGAGGCGAGGACGGCGACCACACCTATCGTGGCGGACTGCAGCGTGCGTGGAATCGGTGCGGTGCGGTGCGGTGCGGTGCGGTGCGGTGCCCGCTGGACGGTGGCGACGGGTTTGAGCAGTGCGTATCTGATGTGTGGCGTGGCGGGCTGGCATTGAACGGTGCTTGCTGTCAGGCGGGAGGCGGACGAGCCATCAGGGGCCGAAGACATCGGACTGTGACAATCGTGTACGTAACATTTAGTACAAGCAATAGCTACGACCTGTTGGCTTCCGACTCCGCGCCGGGCTATTTTCTGTTCGGCGATTTCCGCGCTGCGCTCGCCCTGGGGTCACGCGGACCCCGTGACTCACCCCTGACGGGGTGTGGTTTAGCTGTGTTATCCGCGCCTACCTGACGTTTCAGAAATGGTTTTTTCGTTCCTCGCCGCACAAAAACGCTCTCCGTTGTTGAAAAAAATACTCTCCGTTGTTGGTTTCAATGCACGATCCATGAGAATTATGTCATCACGGCGTCGTTGTTTTCATTAATTTGTTTCACGATGTCTATGTAAATAGTGTTCATTTTAATCGATAAAACAAACTGAAATGTCTTTGTTTCGTTCGGCGTCGGTAAGCAACACAAACCGAGCAAACGGGTGAACGAAGCTATAAGCGACCCATCCATAGACTTCCGGGAGACGGGAACTGGTTTGCAGAAGGCGCATCCATAAATACATTTCCTGTGAAGGGGAAGGGTGGCTCGAAGGCGGGTAATCGAAGCGTAACAGAGGGGGGGGGGAGGGGAGAACGTCTTTGGGCAACGCAGTGGCGGGTTCAGTTGTAGTGGCAGATTATGCTATGATATTTTACAACATTTTCAAGCCCTAAAGATGGATACCATTGGCTTCCTCTTACGACGAGAAACACGTCCGATTTTGTTCCGCACCTCCAACTCACTTAGGGGCCAAGTGGACGCCAAAGTGACGTGGACGTTACAATAAGAACAGCGTAACCGGGAGAGGAAGCTTGTGCCCAAAGTAACTAGTGCTTAAGGAAGAAGGAGTTGCGTTGAAAAGTTGCCAAAATGCGTAGCGTGATGTGTGGACGGCTCTTTACGTATATGCTAGTTTCCCCAGGGAAGCAACGGTTCACGCCAGTACGGCAGACATCATTCCAAGATCCTAGCTCAGGCATCATTCCGGGATCCTAGCTCAGATATATTTCCAGGATCTTAGCTCAGGCATCATTCCAAGATCCTAGCCCAAGTTGTTCCGGTACGGGCATGTGCAGTGTGGTTGTGTCTAACCGATCAGGGAATCTTGGGATTGGAGAGAAACACAGACACCACAGTGCATGTAAAGAGAAAACAAAAAACGGTGGGGCAGGAGAAGTGGAAAACGTGTGCAGCGTATTGATGAACCAACCTGAAAATGTCACTTATCCGTTCGTGCGTCATCACTGCTGAATGCATAGATAATGACTGGACCAGTATTTCTGTCTCAACGCTACTTTTGAAATTTTCAGCTTTGATACGATAGGTAGCGGTCTTCTCGAAAAGTCACTGCGATTGGGGGCGTGTGCAGGAGCTCGCACTGGGCGTGGGAGGACACAGCCAGTATTTCTCACTGACATCCCAGCTTAGCGCGTTCCCAGCGTGCAAAACTTATTGCGTACATGAAACAACATGGCGTATCGTAGCTCTTCAGTTTCTGTTCGTTTTCCCGTAAGTTTTCGCGTCAACATTTAGTTGTTCAGACAGATTTATGCACTAGATTTATTAAGAGGAAGGTGACGTGCTCTTGGCGGCCATTGCGTGGATACGTCCCAGACTGCACATGGCCTAACGAAAGACCGGCGGAAACGCTCTACATCCCGGATTGTAGCTAAGCAAAGTGCGATGCTTGGGGCCCAGCCTGTCTTGACGCACACCTCTGGGTATATTTATAGCTACCAAGCTTGCATGTCGCGATTGTAACCGAGAGAGCATAAGAGCAGTCACATGCAAACATACTCGTTGTTATGTTACCGCAGCCACCGTGTGAAGTATCTTCTCGCAGCAGGGGACCAGCCTGGGGGTTCTTGGTGTCCAAGCTATCTAACGTTGGCATGCATCACGGGCCAAGTTACATTATTCAAATCATGGTAGGGCACTCAGATGACCTACACTGTCAGTGAGCCCAGTCATGAAACAAGCGAGCGTCTACGTAAGGCATTAGTCGTCGACTGGGCGGAGAACGGACCAGAGATGTTACGATACCGCAGGTTGATTAGCACAGGGCGAGGCAACGTTCGGAGATGGCAGCCAGGACCCGGGTGATCCCAAATATGAGGGCCAGATAACATCATAGGACGAAGAGAAAGTCGCAACAAAAATAATAGGGAAGGGCAGCGGCGCTCATGAGACACTAAGAGCTCGCAGTCGGAGCAGGCGGAGAAGTGGAAGAGGCGTCGATTCGGCAACATTTGCGTAAACTATCTCGGGTACTTGGAGAATTTGGCGACTGCCAAAAGGCCTTAGGTTCAAGAAAAGTCAACGTGCAAATATCAAGAAATGCATTTATACAGGACTGACATGACATCAAACGCTAACATAACGCGGTCATTATTTGCCGCAGCAGCGAAGCAGGCGACATGGGAACTACTGCTATCATTACTAGCCACTAGGTGGCAGCAAATGACAACTATTTGTGATGAGCTTGTGAACGTACCATCAGTACTTGCGTCGGCATCAAAAGCGTACCCACGTGGGAGGGGGGAGGCGTGGGTGGAGGTGGGGGGGGGGGGGGGGAAGGTGGAGATGACAGCCCGCTTTCTTAAAGTAGGATTCCCCCCATTTTGCTCGTAGAACAGATATTTTCTTAAAAGTTTTTTCATTCGAAATGTGGTTTTCATGTCATGTGTCCCCCGAGCAATGGCGGTGCTTTCACTCAGACAGTTTAGACACAGCCAAACAAAATTTGAGAGCCCACTTCAGTATCTTTTTAAAACACTTCATAACCTTATAAAGTGATGCGGATTCGTTTGTTGTAGGGAATGACCCACCGTTGTACCGTTGTAGTACGGTCACAGATGAAGAGTATCTGGAGTCAGTTTTCCGTAGTTCCGCTGCCGGCTGTTCAGATGGGTGGGCGGAACATGTAACACTCCTGACGTTGCCAACGAGGCCGGTCGTCGGTAGCGGAACGGTGCAGAGACGGTTACACAGATCCCCAGTTCGTGCGCCATAAGAACCACTGTGAGGCCCGCCCAGCTGATTTCTACACCTCTGTGCAGCTTGCTTACAACGAACCATTTGCAACAATGGAACTGCGGGCTGCTGTCAGCAGCGTTCGGAGTGTATCGGAGAGTTCTGGCGAGACGCAAAACGCCATGATCCGATATCTACCCAGCTGTGCACTGTACGTTCTCCTAGCCATTTTTAATCGTCTTTGAGAGCGACGCAAATTTTCGAGCACTTGGCGAGAAGCTGTTGTGATGCCCCTTTAAAACCAGGAAAGAGTGGCAAAGGTCCCATTTACTGAAGGCCCATCTCTCTCACATTTTCACAGTGGAGGCTGATGGAGAGGCTCGTCAATGTTTGTCTTTCGTGTTTTTTCGAGGCCAGTACCATTTTTACTAAATCTCAGTGTGGTTTTAGGAGACACCTTAGCACGCTGGATCATCTTTTCACCTTGAATACTGCTGTTCGTGCTGCTTTAAACACGCGCACGGGTGACCGGTTGGATACTCTTCGCTCGGGGGAATCTATTTGACCTACTGAGATATTACGAACTAAGAGAGCTAAATACATCAAGTTCACAGAATGTGTCGCTCAAGATGCAAACTCACTCAAGTCAAGCTTTGAGGTCCGTAGGTCATGACCTTTGGGTCAAATAAGGTCAAACGAGGTCAAACTCCAGGCTGGTCTCCAAAGTGCCCCCAGGAACCCAG